AAGAATGCAAATACTTGAAGCTGACACTTCAACTTCACAGGTCAGAAATTAAACAGATCAGATGAACTTTATGTTTCATATACATACATTTCTTTACACTCAAAAAAACACCAATGTGCTACCCTGGCCCACTTGGTCTGACAATATCTCTTATAATATATACTGTGCACTATTTGTNAGCTATGGCGCAGCGCAAGATATCTGTTAACCATATGGCCAAACTCTCAAAGTCATACATCAAATTCTTCATAACAGTTTCATGCTTTTTCTGTTGTCTGCAAAGGTTAACACTGGTTTAATCAAACGGGAAAATCAAAACGCAAACTGTAAAACAGATTTTTGCTGCTTTCATGATTATTTAAAAAAATTCAAACCTTCTTTCCAGGCAAACTGCCAAAGAGGTGTATATATATATATATATATATGGAAGTTAAACATCCACGCTTATTAGCAAAATTGATGCATTCCTGTATTTCAATTATTTTTATATTTTATATTGCCTATGAAGAACAAAGTTAATAAAAAACACAATGCGTACCAAATTAGAACACATACTACTACTTTGACAATTCACTGTCATGAGAACAAAAATGTGACTAATACAAAAATGTTCTTCATATTAAAGATACAAATATTCTTCAATCTATTGCATGGAATAAGAGTTTAATGAAATGAATGTCAGGTTTATGAAGATTTAGAACTGAATGTTGAGTGTCTAACATACTCCTTCATAGTTTCGGCAAATTAAATAAGCCATTCGATTTAAAGCAAATAACAGCATCTTTTTTCTTTCAAGATTTATGCATTATCACAACCCAGACAATATGCCAACAGGGTAATCTTTTATTCTTTAATTTTAATTTAATGGATGCCGTAGATGTACCAGTTTTAATTACCTAATCTCAGCCTACATTATACATTCCTGTGCATAAATTCTTATTACTGTCACAGGCACAGAGCTGGCTGACAAAGTGGTAATGCTTAAGACTCACATTCAAGAGCCATTTGGTTAAGATCTTGACTGGGACACAAGCTATCCTGACTGAGACTCATCAGTTTTCCTTAGTTTGACTATGGAAATTCCAGGATAGGACCTCAATTAAATCACAACCAATTCCTTCTAAATCCTTTCTAATTTTCATCCATCTGTGATCCCATCACTGCTATACAGCTGGAGATACTGCCAGTGACATAACCACAGGATATCAGGCATAATACACAAAGCAACAACTGTTTAGTACTTACACAGCTGTCTGGTTCTGCTCCTGTTTCACTGACATTTGGTAGGAACGTGGAGGCTTCAGAGGATAAGAATTGCTTTCACACCAGCCCACAGGGAAAATGTCATGTGAATCCATGTTCACTATATGATTTGGGTGGAAACTGAAATCACATACAAATTGTAAGTTTGAACATCCAGGCAGAACAGCTGGCTTCTATAATCTTATGCAATGTGGCACATCCATCTACAGTATTTCATAACAAAATGTATGGCATTATGCAATTCATAATTTCTGTGGTGATTCATAGTCACTAAAGTGTCTGCCATGTCAAAATGGTAAAAATTACTGACATTTAGGAGAAATGTGCCACCTCCTTCTTGAGCACCGATGCTACCCTTGCCAACAAGCACAATTCTTACAGTATGCACAGCCTTGAAGTTAAGAATTAGCACCAATGAAAGCACAATGAGTCCATGCAATACCAAGCTCAACCTACAAAAAAAGAGCAGAATAGCATTCTACTTCATTTTCCTCAACTTCAAACAACAGTTCATGTTCTTTTGCTTCCCAGAAGTGATTACTATGAAATGAAAAAAAAAAATTACTTTATCTGCAGATACAACCTGTCATTAGACTCAAGATGTATCCACAACAGGTGATCAATAATTCTGATGATTGATGCAGCACAGATCTGATGTTGATTCTCTGGATTCACAGCTTCCAGTTTCATTGATGGAGCAAAACCTAGCTCCTTGAATGACTCCCGCTGAGGAAAACAAGAAATTGGTGCAGCACTTGACTTGGTCGCTTCTAAATATTCTGACCAATCAAATTCCTCTTTAGTTGTAGTCCAGCCTTGAGGATGAGTCAGCTGAAGTTCATGTGAAATGGCCCAGCCTATACAGCATGTCAGCATGTCAGCATATAAGTAGATGCTATGTACAATAACATAAACAACTGTAGACACTTTGAATAAAAGCTACAATTTTTAGCCCACTTTCCTTACTTTCAAAAAAAAAGTAGGCTTATGAGATCACCTTGCTGTTTGTGTTTCAGTGTATCTGAACATGTATCCCTCTCTAACAACTTCTGAATGCCTGAATCAATCTTTATGAAACTACCATCAATAATACTCTCAAATTGTTGGGGTAATACCCTTAATATTACTTAACTGCCTGAATTGATCATCATGCAATATGGTATGTATATCATGCTACCTGAGCCCATCTCGAGAGCATACTTCATAAATTATGCTCATCTGTAAAACCAATATTGCAACGGCTAAAACTATTGAGGCCAAAACCTTAATACTGCTTGAACACCTGTACCAGACTTCATGAAACTACATATGTATACCATGCCACATTAAGACATCTCAACAGCCTATGTCACAAATCCCTTCCATCAGTAGTGTAAACATTGCAGCCTCTCAATTTCTTGAGGTAATATCCTTAATACTATTTGAATGCCCCAACTTACTGTCATCAATATTGGTATGTATACTGTTATGTACAGTATATATCTGGTATATCTCCTCCTTAGCATTGCTGCAGCCTCAATAGGCGGAAGGGTCAGGTTCCTCTCCGTCCACCAATCTGCAATTGCAGCATTGTCCTTTTCTGGGTATTCCTAATGCAGGAGACTGCACCCAAACCACACATAATGGGGAGGTTGCTTGCAGTTAGCCCTGACATATCCAAATTTTTGGCAGTTGTAACCCTGCACAAGACCAGTATGGGCTTTGTATGTCTCTACCCTGACTGCAATATGGCAAAGATTCATAAATTTGAATATCTCCTGGGACTATGATGTCTTAGGTAAAGTTATGAGGAAACATGGGATATCAACTGTGGTTATTCCATCTGCAGGTGATTCATGGATGGCAGACATTTGTTTGATGCGAATAACATCGAAGCCAACATTCACCAACCCATCTGGGATGTCCTCCGGATGAGAAATGAATGGAAGATACAGTATCACAGCCTTTACAGGCTTCTGGCATTTGGGACAGAAAGTGAAGTAAGGTCGGCTACTGCTCTTGAAGTGAGAGTGCATGGCTGAGGAAACCGCCATTTCTTTCATCATAATTCTGGTCGCATTTCTGGCGCTGTAAACATCAAAGTTGCCTTTCAGTACGCCCTTCAGTTGCCTCTGCAACTCTTATCAGGTTTAACCGAGAGGTTAGCATAGTAGGTGGCAGGCTGCCTGTCTGGCTGGATGGCACCTGCTGTTGCTGATGCTCGGTGGAGTGGTCCATGTATTTGTTCTCATTTTAATGTCATGTTATTTGACATATGCGATGTCTACCCCCTTGGATGTCATACATCTGATGACAGAGACTGCAACTGCTAGAAATATGTGCCAGTACTGGGGGGAGACAAAGCTCAACAAAGATTGCATACAAGGGTGGAGGCCATACTCACTAACACTTGAATCTAATTTAAATAGCTACAATACCAGACTCTTACATCCTTGAGGGTGCACCATGATTAGCATCAATATTATTTAAGGATATAAATATGTTACTGACTTCCTGAATTTGGCATTAAACTCTGTGCCTATAAACCATCCCTATGACTGGCATTTGGAAGACCTTGTTGAGTGCACAAGAGTCTCCTGCTGTAAGGTATGATGCATGTTCAAAGATATTTTACATAAAGTATAAGATTACCTACAGGGATCAATGTGTTAGGCACATGGAGCAGCTGTCTTGATCTTATACTGTGTCCATAATTTGTGTTATTAATACATACCAACTGGAAATATGTATGGATGCTTCACTGTACACAGCCAGAATGAATCTGTTTCATCACTTTCCATTGTGGCATAACTGTCGATCTGGATGAGGAAGTGATATGGCGAGAATACTCGAATCACACTAGCTGGACAAATTTCCACCATATTGTGTGGATGGACTGCTTCCAGTTTCATTCCAACAATAAATTTGTGAATAGGTATGTTGTAATAGTCATTCTAAGTTGGGAAAAAATAAAATTAAATAAATAAATAAATAATAACTATAACTGCAAGAAACTGCACTAAACTGAAGATAGATAATCAAGCATCTGGAATTCTCATATATCTGGCAAAAGTTTCAGAGAAAATTTACCATCTTTATAAAGTTGGCCGCACCATAACTCAAGCAGTTAGTCACTGGTTTCCCACTGCGGCGCCCTGGGTTTGATCACGGGTCTGGTAAAGTGGGATTTGTGGTGGGCAAAGGGGCACAGGGGCAGGTTTTCTCTGAGAACTTCAGTTTCCCCTGCCAATCTTCATTCCACCAAATTCTCCATCATCATAATCACCCGGGGCAGGTTACAATAGGCCAATCAGTGGCCACCGTGCCGAGTGGACCCAGTTGGAATCCACCCCGCACTAAGTGAATTAAAAAAATCTTTATAAAGTTACTTCAGAAACAAAGCTGTGATGCACATATGTTCAACCACCACACGGTAATTATCCCAGCCACCACCAGCAGTGCTGCTCATGCCAAGGACCTTCATTGCAAAAGAGGAGAAAATCATGTCAGGCTTCAAGCCAGCTAAAGATAAGCTAACCCTTCTGTTAGGTGCCAATGTTTCTGGTACCTTAAAGCTAAAACCTATGCTAATTTGCCATTTGGAAAACTATGTTAAAAATACACTTCCCAGTAAAACTGAGGTCTAATGTGAAAGCACAGGTAACTGAGGCACTTTTCAAAGAATGGTTTCACACCTGCTTTGTACCAGAGGTGAAAGGTTATTGTAAGGAGAACACCCCTTTCAAAATTTTACTCCCTGTAGACAATGCTCCTGGCCCCCTTGAATGTTAGATGATCTGCACCCTATGAATGAATGAATGAATAATGTATAAGGGGTCCCTTGTACCATGACCACAGTGGTCTATTGTGCTTCCCCTTTTGATTATCCCCTCAGCAATCCTGCCCTTTGAATGAAGCACAGGATTTTGTACGTGGGAGCGTCGAAATAGTCACTTGGTTCCATAAAGTATTGACCCAAGTGACGTATACTTAAATAAGCTAAGGCGTCACACAGGATATGTGTGGCCGTTTCATTTTCTTCTTGACACCTCTCACAAGTGGGATTATTACTTAGTCCCAGTTTGAACAGGTGCCCTTTAAGGTGACAGTGTCCTGTAAGTAGTCCTACCACCCATCGTAGCTGGTTCCTGTTTAACTTCAACAGTTCCTTCGCTCTTTTAGCAGAGGGTCCTTGTATGAGTCCCTTTGCTTGCCTGAGTCCAGTCAAGGATCCCCAGTATTTCTTGTGATTCATATTTGTCCAGTCCGATTGCCTTTCTAGCAACTCCTATAGAGATGCCACAGGCTGGTTCAGGTCCTATTAACGGATGTTCAGCTCCAGTCTTAGCTAATTGGTCTGCTGTTTCATTTCCAGCAATACCCTCATGCCCCGGCACCCATATCAGTTGTACTCTGTTATGTTTGGCCAGTTCCATGAGGATTTGGTGGTAATCCCAGACCAATTTCGAGTTGATCTGGTGTTCGTCAAGCGCTTTAAGTGCAGCTTGGCTGTCAGATAGAATGTAGATGTTCCTATTTCTGTAGTTCCTATCTAGATTCTCCATAATACATGCCTTAATGGCATATACTTCTGCCTGGAATACTGTCGTGTACTGCCCATGGCTGACGTATTGCAGCATTAGACATCAAAGAAGGAACCGGGCAAGAAGTCATAGAGAAATTCTGGAAAGTCTTTGCGATCTTAGATGGCATCAAGACTACATGAGATGCATGAAATGATGTTAAGATCCCTACACTGAAAGGGGCCTGGAACAAATTATGTCCACACATGAAAGATGATTTTGAAGGCTTAGAAAATCCTGTATATGAAATGATTGAAAATATTACAGAGATGGCAAGGCAGTTAGAGCTGGAAGAAGAGCCACAAGATGGAGCTGACATTATGAAGTCCCATCCTCAGCCTCGCAGCAGAAGTCCATCTATGTAGAAAACCTTACAGAAGCAAAGCCCTGTGCAAGTACATTTGAGTTTCCTGCTGGTGTATGAATACTAAAGTATGTTGAAAATAGTATCTCAGGGTAAAGATGACATAAGGGTCTACGTCACTAACGGACAAAAATGCCCCTTTGTTCTCACAGCAGATGGAGTACTGTGACAATTCAAAATGGATCTGAATGGGTGTGCTTACAGGATTCAGTCTAAATGTTATCACGCCTGTCTGTATAAATTTATTTTGCTTCATAGAAAATATGAGTATATGCAGATGTCTCTAATTACAGTGGAGTGGAGAACACTGCATTATGACAAACTTTGCAATTCATGCAGCTCATTCAGGTACTGAAATTGATGGACTGGACATGTAGCTCAGATAAGCAGAGGGACAGGAGAGATCAGTACAGAATTTGGGTAGGAAAATCTCCTAAAGAAATGAAAAGATAGGAGGTTACTATTAAATTGAATCTTACAGACATCATCATCAGTAATCTGTTAGGACTGCTCTTGGGCCTTCCCAGCTTCTGCTGTGGTAATGTGCATCATCTCAGTTCCAGAGACAGATGCAAAGGACTGCAAGAAGGGAATTAGAATTAAAATTTAGAGAAAAGAGTAATAAGGGACAACCAGAAACAAGATGGTTCATTTATGTATTTGAAAACATCAAGAAGAAAAAAAAGGGAAGGATTTTGGGGAGAAAAGTGATCGGAGACTTCTCACCCGTTGACCCAAACAGATCAAACCGATGCTAGGAATACAAGATGGAGAATACAAAATTAAAAAGAATCCTGATAATTCCAGACCTCAAAAAGACCTGGAGGCAATGGCACTCTACGTGCATCTTCCTTTGCCATTTCCATGACTGCCTCCCATTCCTCATTACCATGATGAGTCTTCATGTGGCTCGGCCACTGCAGCAACCATGGAGGCCCTGCAAACCACAGAGCCTGTCTCAGTAGGGAATATAATCACACTGTTAATGCCTGTACTTGAGCCTGATCACAGCCACATTAGGAAACTGTCTAAAACAGTTAAACTCGAATATCACAAATTTCTCTTTTTTTTTTTTGCTAAATTATAACCAATGTAATACCTACTGAGAATTCAGTTAGTAGTCTCATCATTTGTTATATAAGCTTCCTTACTACTAACTTCCTTTTCTTTCCCCATATTCAGTTCCAGTTCTGCATGTTAGTGAATGATACATTGAGACGATACATTTCGCAAACTCACAACTGCATGCTTGCCATGGCAGCAGTGGACATAAACCTCAGTGTGGTTTGATAACATTGGCATTTCACAGTTGTATTGTTGTTGATCTATGGCAGTCTCTTTCTGAGTGGAGCCTATTATTATCTAAGTGTAATTTGGTGTGCCACTGCGAGAATGTTGGGAGCCTGAATTAGAGCAATGAACGAACATCAAATTTCTTGTTAAACTTGGCAAGAGTGGAAGCGATATCAGAGATATGTCAGTGCAAGTTGACGGGGATAATGCTATGAAGAAAACAACAGCTTACATGTGGGTGATACGTTTTTCTGAGGGAAGGAAAAGTGCCACTGATGAAGAGAGTTCAGGGCGGCCAGCAATGAGCAGAACTGAAGACAACATTGCAAAAGTTCATCAAACTGACTATCAGGAGCATAGCAGAGCAAGTGAACATCAACAGAGAGACAGGAAAATCTTAACTGAAGAGCTTAACATGAGGAAGATGCGTACAAAAATGGTCCCAAAGTAGCCCACTGAAGAACACTGTCTGTGAGGGAGTTTTCAGCTAGTAAACAAATAACTGTGTTGGAACACCCTCCCTATTCACTGGATCTAGCCCCCTATGACTTTTTTTCTGTTCTCAAAGATAAAGGAAATATTGAAAGGCAGGCATTTTGATGACTTTGATGTCATCAGGAGTAATATGATGGCAGCTCTGAAGGCCATTTCACAAAACCAGTTCCAAAACTGTTTTGAAGGGTTGAAGAGGCACTGGCATCAGTGCATTTTCCCAAGGGGGAGTACTTTGAAGGTGACCACAGTGATATTCAACAATGAGGTATGTAGCACTTTTACTGCAATGAGTTCGCGAAATTTATTGTCAGACCATGTAATGTCATATCCCATGAATAATATGCATAAGCAGCCAATTATAAACCACTTCTATATAGTATTTGAGTTCTTAATGACATTCTAATTGGTGTTTTATAAATTCTGTTTCAATTCAAAGCACTGTTTACAATAAGAATCTTAAATTTGTTAAAGAAACTGAACCCACAACTTTGCATTTCAAGCCTAATGATGTATATATACCAGTATTTCAGTAAACAGAAATACATTCCAGAATCTCATTTTTATTTCTATGTGTACCAGAAAAACCAGATGTTTTTAAAAAAAAATTTATCTGATTTTATCTTTTAAACAGTCTAATTAAAGATAAAAGAGCAATACTTCAGTTTAAGAGATAAAGGTCTAAATATTTTCCTCAGCACTCCGCCAGCACTCCGCTCTCAGACACCCTCAATCTAAGTTCTTCCCTTAATATAAGAAACCAGGTTTCATAACCACACAAAACTACAGGAAAAGTTACAGTTTTGTATATTTTAATATTTATAGTCTTAGATGGCAGACAAGAAGACAAAAGATTCTGAACTGAATGGTAGCAAACATTCTCTGAATTTAATCTTCTCTTTGTAAGTTTTGAGGTTTTCACGGCGATGACAATGAAGAAAGTTGTCTTCTGGGTTTAGGAACTGTGTGTTCTGCTCTGAAGATGGAGGCGCTACGTTCCTCCGAAACGTCGGCCAAAACGAAGAATACACGGTGCCTAAACCCAGAAGACAACTTTCTTCATCTTAACCTGCTCTTATTTTTCCTCACAAACCAAGTTCAGATTTGTTACTGTCANTACGGATATCCGTAAAAAGGAAAATGCCACAAAAAAGCAAACAACAATATTATTTTTTTAAGTGTTAAGTGTGAATATTCGTAAAAAGTGTTGGATGTTGTTGAACAGTGACTGAAATAACTAATTCCCACTTCAGTATAATGTAAAAATGTATTAAATAGGCCATGAGATGACATAAAAATGAGGTTGAGTAAATTTAAATACAGGTAGGCCTATAGTATTATGAAGGTACAGTATTACAGTACTACTTTTAATAACATTGTCTTAACCGGGTTTTCGATTAATCGTGATTTTCATGCCCACCATTTTCCTGCATAATCAAGAGTTGACTGTAGTTTAATTTACCCTGATTTCCACATGAACAATTAGCTATTTTTATGTTATGACTTTGTCCTGCCTTCTGGCAATGGGACATGAAAATATAGATTTCTCTGTGTTTACTTCTACACCATCCTCCTTACTGATGCCAATTAGAGCTTTCATCTTTTTCTTTAAGGTATCTGTTATTATTAAGTAAGTTAACATCATCAGCATAGACGAGAAGCTGATGTGTCCCACTGAATTTCTTTGACCTTTTCTGATGGCATAATCTAAAGCTAATTAAAAAAACAGTGACAAAATATTTCCTTGTTTCAGACCATTCTGAACAGGAAACACATTGGATGTACATTTTTCATTTTCATCCGTAATCTGTCATACGACAGGTCCACAGTCTCTTCCAAAACAGTTCCTCCACTTAATGTGATCTAGAGCTTTCTCCTTAAAATAAAAATATCCTCTTCTGTCCCCAAGGTCACCCAGAATCTTCTTACGTCTTTTTCCTCGTCTTCTGGTCGCATACATGGTATCTCTGTTCTTGGAAAGAGACTATCCAGGAAAATTGATAATGTGGTAGTTTTTCCATTTGCTTTCCACATCACAGTACAACAGCCATTCAAACCGCTCTGGTCACGCCTGTTGCTATACGAACTTGAACTATCTCGAGCATCATTTGCTCTGTGCTTCAAGTCGCTGCTTCCGGCATCAATTTTTGGTTTCTGGTGTCTCTCTTCGTCTGATGCCTACCCTTTGACCTGTCCAGCAAGGGAGGCCCTGCCAGTAGCTACCCTACCGGTGGTATAGCTCTCAGGGTTCTTCGCATACTCAAACCCCCTCACCATGATAAGGTGGAGACACCAAAATACACAAACTACACAATTGTTTCAAACTGCTCTTTACAGCTGTCAACTGATTTACACACTGAAAGTGTGGTCATATCAATAACAATTTCTCATGCTGTGACATTATTACCAATACGGTAAGCATGATGCAAATATGAATATGGACACTGGAAGCCCTTTTTTGCTAACCTTATACTAGAACGCAATTCAGTATGATTGGTTGCATAGAACAGTTGATGAATAATGATTATGCCACTAACTGCCTACCTTTTTCTGCAGTCCATCCCATTGGAAAGAGTCTCTGAGAACTGTGGAAGAGCCAAAAGTCTGGCGAGGATGAATCTGGTGTGTCATAGCGTAGAAGCAGTCGTCCACCCACATTCTCTATGATCTAATGCAAGGTAGAACATTAATTTTAATCAGTGAGTGATTAATTGTAAAACAGACTTACAAAAAATGAAGTACAGACTTCACAAAATTCATTCTGCACATACTGTCACTCTTACAGCAGTTACAATAGTAACTCTGGAAACAGTAATGCTGTTTCAGTTTTATTTTTAACTGCATACATGCTCAATATTTCTAACAGCTCCAAAGAAATACTGGAATTCACCCCAAACTTTCTGCAAGATTATTTCTTATGAACAAAAATCTATAATTACAACAGACCCTGTTAAATTTCATTAACAGGCATGTTTTCGCTTATAAGCCATCTTCAGTACACTTATATGATAGTTCTTAACCACTGCCACTTGCATAATTTATATCAGGAAGAGCAGGTTCAGTAGCTTTGTCACTGAAACACAGGCTAAGGGGTAAGCAGAGCTCATGTCTTGAGTATTATGACTGAGTTAATGTCATGTGTTCAGCTCCATTTCAATAACACTGGTCTGTTTATATTTAGACCTGCTATTTTTGCCCATCACAGAGCTCATGTACTACCAAACAACATATAACCTTTACAACAAATATCATGAACATTAATTCATTAAGGATTTCTGAAACTCAGCTTGTTCAAAAGCGGCCTCCGTAGTCTAGAGGTAACGTTCCCACCTCATGACTCGCAGTACGCGGGTTCAAATACCTGGCGGAGGTCGTGGAATTTTTAAGGGCGGAAAAATTCAGGGAACAAGTCCTCCGGGAGGGACTTTAAGCTGTGTGTCCCATGTCGTAACTTTACGGCACGTAAAAGAACCTCATATCCCCAAAGGGGATCACTGAGCCAAATTTCAGGATGTTTCCCGCCCAACAATAGTCTCTATGGCCTCTGATAGATGGGGGAATCATTATAGACACCACTAAGCAAGTGGAGGCCGAACTCGCTTGCTCGGCGGGACTGATGGTACACACCATTATCGGTAGGGTATAGAGACTGGTAGAATATCATAGAGGGAAGCACAATAGATCAAACTGGTCGCGGTGCATGAGGAAACCCACCCTCTCTAAATAACTAACTAACTAATAACTAGCTTGTTCAAATGACTCAATGGCTTCAGAATGACAAGTATTTCGCCATCAGGCTCAGTTGGTAAGGGTAAATGATCAACTCACCCCCACTACAGAAAACGTCTGCTACACAATAAGATTAACAAGCAGTAGGCTCAGCATATAACACAATCGAGATACAACTGGATAGAATACTTGAACAGATGATGTTGAATTAAATAAAATCCACAAAAAATGGATGTGAAACTTACTGTCGCAACCCACAGCCGATGAGGATCCATTTTATCTTGCACTTCTACTTTCATGCCCTGCTTGATCCTGTCAGCTGGTGTGAAGCCATCCTGAAGCAACATAAATTTTCACTATGACAGTATACACATCTCAACCATACACACATCCACACAGTCACTAATATAGCAGACTCCATTTTGATGAACCAACTCCTCATTTTTAGGTCTCATCCTGATTTACCTAAACAATGATAAGACTGGCCATCAGAGATCAGGCAAACTGAATGCTGCTGTCTGCTGCAACTGATTTCTTGCTTGGTTTGTTCCTTGACTCTGATGATGGAGGTAACACTTTCCTCCAGCATGTCAGACTTTCTCTGAATTACATGTTGTTACAATCTTTGAACTCACTATCACTCAACTCCATTAAAATACAAACAACAGTTTTCCTATGATAAAATAACATATTATTATAGAGTTGTTTACTGTAAAAAAAGGTAAAGATGTCCCTGTAACAGACCACGAAGGCCCATAGGGATGAGAGACTTCAAGGGTCCCACATCTTCTAAACAATCAGCTCACAAATGGCAGTAAGCCTTATGCACCCGCCACCCTTTACCCCTCAGACAGATNGAGAAAACTCAGGCGGGCGATTCAGAACCGGAGAAGAGGGATGTTGAGCAAGGGCGTAAGCATTCTCCGCGATAACGGTCGCCCCCATGCTGCCCGACAAACCGTCACTCAACTGCAACAGTTTGGATGGAACATCATCACCCATCCACCCTATAGTCCGGACTTGGCGCCCAGTGACTACCATCTCTTTCCAAAGTTGAAAGAACATTTGTCTGGAAAGCGCTTCAACGACGATGATGAGGTGAAAGCTGAGGTTCGAAGTTTCCTGAACAGCATGGAGGTGAACTGGTATGACATGGGCATACAAAAACTGCCACTGCGCCTACAAAAATGCATCGACCGAAATGGCGATTATGTAGAGAAATGAGTACATGTTCAAGATTCAACTGATGTATCCAAAATTGACAATAAATGTTTATTTTATATTTTCAAACATCGGAGACCTTACTTTTGGAATTACCCTCGTACATATTTTGTATTTCATTTCCTTATTCATTTATAAAGGCTATTCAGAAAGTAACATCTGGTGAGCTGTTAACGAAAAAAGCAATGAAAAAACAAATGCTATTATATATAAAATATAAATACATACTTAAGCTACTTCTCAATGTAGACACTACCGGAATTGAGGCACTTGTCATATGCCTGTGTCAAAGAAGTCTGAAGTCTTTGATCTCAACCATGTTTTGACACCTTCCACTAGCTCCTCATTATTGCTGAACTGCTGTGACCCCAAGCAGATCTTCAGGTAGGTAGCAGCCACTCAGAGAGAGATCAGGGCTGTAAAGAGGGTGGTCAAACAACTCCCAGTTTAAATGATTCAGCACTGCTCAAGTACAAGCTACTGTATAAGGATGCATATTGTCATGGAGCACTACACCAGATGTCAGAATTCCACACCTTTCCTTCTGAATGGACCTATGCAATTTTTTACTGTCTTGCAAGCAATACACTTCTGACATTATTGTGGTCCCTTGTCACGTGAATTCCAACATCAGCATTCTTTTCCTGTCCAAAAAAACAGTTCTCAGCTTTCTGGCAGACATTTGTTTAAACTTTTTTGATTAGTTTGGTGTGTGTGTGTGTGCATCTACTGCTTTGATTGCTCTTTGATTTCAACATTCATAAATGTAACCCAGGTTTCATCACCTGTCACAATATGATTGAGAATTCATCATCTTCTTTGTGGCATCACTCTAAAAATGTCAAAGCCAAAGCCATTCCATGGATTTTGTGTGCACCCATGAGCATTTCTGGAACCTGTCTTGTGTAAATCTTGTGATAACCTAGCTTAACTGTGATAATCTCATAGAGAAGAGTAGGAGAAATTTGTGGAATTTCACACAAAAGTTCTGAAATTGTGAAGTGCTGTCTTTCACAAATTTCTATATCAACATTTTGAACAAGATCATCACTCACTACAGATGGCCAACAACTTCACTCTTCATCATGAACATCTGTTCACTCATCTTTGAACATTCTATACCACTGTCTTACAGTTCCTTCACTCATTGCATTTTGGCTGTAAACCACTCATAATTCACCATGGATTTCCACAGCACTCATATTTTTGATTGAAGAAAGCAGATGGCAGTGCAGATTTCGCAGCCAGAGGATTATCAAATGCAGGACACACCATAACTCACTCTGCAGAGACAGGAACCAATACTAGGTGACCAGTTATGTGATGGTTTACAAGGCAATGAGTCATGTGACACAATCTTGCATGAGTGAGCCTCCCCTGCTCCTACATTAGTTGCCTAAAGTAAAAAGAGGTTACTTTCTGAACGGCCTTTGTATATTGGACAACTGGATAACTTCTTCTGGTAATAACTCATCAGAACATGTCCTGTCAGCCTATATACGAGATACTAAGTAACGGTAGTACACATGATAACTGATGTTTTAAAATGGAATTGAATGATACTGACACAGGCACTCTGTATAATAATCCTAAAACAAATGATGCGGTCAATCAAGTGTGTGGCACTTCTGCTTTGTATCTGAGATACCAGGTTCAAAAATCAGCCTGGAAACTGGCTTCCTAACTGAGGATTTTAGTGGGATATTGTCTCAAATCAAGCCATAGCTGCTTTCTTCCACATCCTTCCATTATTTCAGTAATCATATATCATCCCAGTATTGAACATTATACAG